GAGACTAACACAACATTGTAAAGCAACTATACCCCAATTTTTAAAAAAAGCAAAGAGATAACAGCTATAACAAAGGCAGCAGAGTGCAGAGGGCTATAGAATATATAAGGAGCAATGGACCTGAATTTGGAGGTAGGACATGAGGGCAGGAAATGGAAGCCAAAGCCAATACCAGAATGAAGAGGAATTAGGCAAGCAGAAGTGAGTGGAGGAGACAGAGAGACCATTCCGGACAGAGAGAATATGGTTCATTTGAGGAAATTAAGTGTGTTAAGGCCACGGGGGTAAAGGATGAAGCTAGACTATGCAGGACCTTATAAGTCTTATTTAGGAATTTGAAAAATGAGAACCTATTAAGAATTTTATGCATAAGAATGTTACAGCCAACTTCACTTTTAAAAGATCGATGACTTGAGGACAGGAAATGAATTGGAGGAAAGAATAACTCTCAAATCATAGTGACCTACTGAGAGGACTTTACACTCATTCAGGATGAGATGATGGTGGCCTGGGCCACATTGGTGACAGCTGGAATGGAAGGAAATGGAGGAATTTGTGAATTTGTAGAGGTAGAAGGCATGGCCTTGGTGGACGATTGTAACATAGTGGGTTATCAAAGTCAGGGTCTTGATAAAGGAGTTTGAAGCCACCTCCATAGAGAAGACATTGTTACGGTAAGTTGTTTTATCATTATTATTATCCGTGAAGATTCCTATGGCATTTTGCTTTCAACCAACTGTGAAAGACAGGACATACCCTGAGAAAGTCATCCTCCACTTAAGTAATAGCTAATAATGCCTTCTCAGGCAGTAATCCTCCTAATAGCTATTTGCATTTTAATAAAAGAGTAGTGACACTTAATGACCTTAAAAAGTAATCTCTAAAGTTCCTGTCACCATTCAGACAAATGGAAAAAATATGAAGGAAAAATGAAGACGTATTTCTGGTGCCCTTTAGATCACATTATTATTCGTGTTTTTTTTTTTTAAACCTAGGTGAATCTCTTCATGACTCAAGTGTAGACAAATACATTTTTTTTTTACATTTATTCTGATTTTTTTCTTTTCTTTTTCTTTTCTTTTGGCCACGCAGCTTGTAGGATTTTACTTCCCCAACCAGGGATTGAACCCCGGCCCTCGGCAGTAAGAGCACAGAGTCCTAACCCCTGGACTGCCAGGGAAACAGGCCTGCAGAGAAACCAGAGAAATATGAACAAACCTTGAGTTCCCAGAAATCCCTGCTAAATCACAATTTAGGAAGCCCTAGCTCAGCTGGGGCCACTTGAGTTTCCTGGATGCCATTTTGAAATCACTAGCAACAGATGCTGGCCATGTATTTAAGGCAGAAAGTGGAGAGCTTTCAATGTAATAGAGTTCCCTATTCTGAAATGCAGTCTACCCAGCAGACCCTTTTAAATTCATCATGGTCTTGTAATAAGATTACTGATTATAAAGTCTGGAAATGAATAGGCAGGGATGGAGACAATGTTGGTATTGGTATTTCTTTAATGATTTAGGGAATTATTGGCCATTCATTTCCGACCATTTGTAATTGAAGTCTTGAAATAATGGAATTTATTAGGGGAACGCCTCATTCACCCTTGTATAATGCAAACATACTGAAATGGCACATGTGGACTTATAAATCGTTTGTGTGCACAAAGGGGCAATACATCACTCCACCCCCCATTCCCTCGGTGCTGGAGGAAGGAGAGGCAGGGGACGTATGAGTTATAGCTTACTAGATGAAACTCCATAACTTCCCTTCTTACATTTCCAGGAGGCTTTTTTTTTTAATATAACCTTCATATTATTTATACTTGCTGATATCCATGATAAAAGGCACTTTTATCATGAGGTTTTTTTATCAAGGTTTTTTTCATTATTTATTTATCAAAACACTCACAAATGTTTTTGACAAAGTCACTTTCAGGCATTCAAACAGATCATCGTCCTGGGCTTGGAGCTTTGGACCTTGTTGTCTACACAAACTGTGTTGAGTTAGGCATATGGTCTCTAATACAGCAGCCAGAAAATGACCAATGTGTTAAAATCCAATTAAATTGTTTCTTTTTTGGGTGGTTTTATGTTTAAAGTAAGGACAGCATAAACTTCCACTTTCTCATTGAAGCTGTAACAAGAAATTCAGTTATTATTTTTAACCACTGCAGAGGGCAGACGTGTTTTATAACACACTGCTTTTCTTTTGATTTATTTATTTATTTATTTATTATTTATTTATTTATTTTTGGCTGCGTTGGGTCTTCGTTGCTGTGCTCGGGCTTTCTCTAGTTGCGGTGATTGGGGGCTACTCTTCGTTGCGGTGCGCGGGCTCCTCATTGCAGTGGCTTCTCATTGCGGAGCACAGGCTCTAGGTGTGCAGGCTCGGTAGCTGTGGCGCACAGGCTTAGTTGTTCTGCGGCATGTGGGATCTTCCCGGACCAGGGCTCAAACCTGTATCCCCTGCATTGGCAAGCGGATTCTTAACCACTGCGCCACCAGGGAAGTCCCAACACATCTGCTTTAAACATCTGTTTTAAAGCATCCATTGTCCAGAACTAATTCGGCCTTTTGCTAGTAAAAGTAGTTTCTTATTCCAACTTTAAATTTGTATGCTGGCTGAAACCTCAATCCACTGGGATTAATACTACACATAGGTGAGCCCTGAATCCTAGAATATCTGTCTTAAGGGAATTTGTGTGAAAATATCACAATGCTATATGGATATGAAAAGTGATGTCTTTTATATATGGCTTACATTTGGGGGTCATTTCATGTGTTTACCTTTTCCATTTTATTTTCAAGATCTTCTAGATCCTTGCTACTCAAAGTGTTGTCCTTGGACCAGCAATACCAACGTATCTTGAGAGTTTGTTGGAAATGCAGATTCTGGGGTCCCATCCTACCCCACCCCACCCCCCACTCCAGAATCAGAGACTGCATTTTCACAAGATCCCTACGTGATATGTATACACACTAAAGTTTGAGAAGCCCTGCCCTAGATAGCTGTTGGACTGTAGATGACATTTTGAAGGAGCCAAGAATCATTAATGAATCCAAACAGGTTACTCAAGAGGCAAATTAATAATAAAATTGTATTACCTAATATTTTTGAGCATTTAATGTGTTCTAGGCATCATACCAGCTTGACGTTTTTTACATGCATTGTCTCATTTAGGCAGCAGGAAAGTGAAGGCTCTTTTTCTGAGGATGAAGAAGTGACTTGGTAAATGGAGAAATTCTGGAATATTCTAGGTAGGATACGGTAACTTAGAGAAAAGGGCTAAATCTAGTGGAAGAATTCAGGATAAGAACAGGTACAGTTCACATATGTGAGGAATATAGACCAGCGCATAGATAAGGGAAACAGGAATATCTTCCAAATGACCAGAAAAAAATGTTACAGTAACGGATTCCACCAAGCAGAGAAGAGCTACTTGGAAGTGACATAGCTAATATGCTGAAAGCGCATAATGATTTGCATTCATCTTCTCACTTTAGAACAAAGGTTGAAAGACTGTTGCATGTTTACTTTTTATGTAAGTGTACAAATGAATAATATAAATGTACATTACTTTATATGGATCCAAGTCTTTCAGTGGATAATTTTTACAACCTTAACATTGGCACAGAAGTGTGTCATTTTTAATGTATAACCATGAGTATTGATTTTTTTTCTTTAAGGAACAGGCTTAAATATAAACCATTGGAGGAGGATATAAGTATATTTGGGGATTGAGAGGAACTGGTTTCAAATCTTGAATTAGAAACCTGGCCTGATTAGAATTAGAATCTGGCCTGATACTCACCATAATAACTGATAAACTAAACTATGACCAACTAGTCTATTAACAGGATTAGTGTTACTGGTATGTTTCACAGAATTATTTTTTTTAGTGGCACCCAAAACTTAGTCTTACGTGAAGGGCTTTCTGAAATATCAACTCTCTAGGAGAGCTGAAAATGCTTCTATTTGCATTAGTTTTTTTAAGGGGTCAGATTATTCTTATTCTAATAGGAAGAATTTTTATAAATTTATAGGAGACACTAAATGATTCCCACTCATGTCATTAGAAGCCACTACCATAATTCTACTTCTCTGGAAGTAAATAGAAAATGGCAAGTTACCTGGGTAGTAGTATTATAGATGAGAATTATATTCATTGTGTATTGCTGCGTAACAAATTACCCAAAAGCTCAGCAGCTTAAAACAACAAACACCGTGGGTGAGGAATCCCTGTTTGGCTCAGGACTTTCTCGAGGTTGTAATCAAGCTGTGGGTGGGCTGTGATCGCATCTAAAGGGCTCTACCGAAGGGGATCCAGTCCCATGGTTACTGGCTGGCTTCAGTTCCTCCTCACGTGGGCCTTTCCACAGAGCCGCCTGTGACATGGCATCCAGCTTCCCACAGGGCAAGCAATCCAGAAGAGCTCGAGAGAAAACATGCCCTAGACAGAAGCCAGGGTCTTTTTATAACCTAATCTTGCAAGTTACCTTCCATTACTTCTGCCACATTCTATTCGTTAGAATTAGGTCTGTTAAGTCCAGCCATACTACAATAAATGAAGAGGATTACACAATACCAGGAGTGGGGGATCACTGGAGGCTGACCACAGATTGGTTTCTGCTTCCTTCTTGCTTTCATATTGTCTAACACGTTGGTTTCAGACATGTATTACTTTGTCATAAGGAAATTAAATTGTTAAAGGCAATACAACTAAATTAAAGAGAAAGTATTCTTTCATCAGAAATGTTGATCAGGAAAGTCACTCCTCTTTGGAGATTTCTTTGTAAGGTAGGATTTATTAAGGACCTTCCTGGCCACATGTTAGATCATATCATGAATCCAAGTCTGATGTCATTAACCTAACAGGATTTTGTATAACTATCAAATTTTTTGCACTGAAAAATTGAAATAGCCAACCCACTCCAGGTGGTAGTATGAATATTTCCATCTTTCTCAGTTGCCTGACTGACTCTTTCTTGCTCTGTTCTCAATAGTATGCTTGAGAGCTCCACCCGGCTTGATGAAGAGCACCGGCTGATCGCCAGATACGCGGCAAGACTGGCAGCAGAGTCCACCTCGTCTGTAAGTACTCTGAACGAGCGGATGTCACGCTGATCGTTACCCTAATAGCTGACGCCACAACAGCAGAGCTGAGTAGTTGCTACTGTGCCGTCTGCAAGACCTAAAAACGATCTGGCCTTCCACTGCTTCCATTTTCACTTTCCAGCTATCATTCTGGTCTAGCATGAATCAGAGCTCGAGGTATTCCTGTTAACAATAGTGCTGAACCAGGCCAATACCCAATTTCTCTGGATAATTCCTAATCGGTTAATATAAGGACAAGCAATGATTCAAATCCACAACTGGCTCAGATAAGATGCCTACTTTTATCAATATATCAAGAGATATATATCAAAAGTTGTTTCTACTTTTCTCAATATGGCAAGAAAGGGAAAATTATGTCGTAAAATCAAAAGAAAACTCTGCATCACGTGTCAAAGTTCCCATATGCCAGCTATAGAGGACCATTTAGGATATAAAATGTAGGACCTCACACTTCTTCATTAGCAACACAAATCGTTTCTTTGTTAAAAGAAATGCTAATTAAAAATGATAGAAAAGCTTTATAAAAGCCAGACCTTTACCACGTGTAAACCTTTCCCTATGGTTAGTTTTCTAGAAACGAAAAATCAGGCTGAGTTTCACCATGTCTTTGGGCTTCGGCAATGGGTGTTATTTTTTAAAGCTTGGCATTCTTTGGTAGAAAGATTAGTTGTAATTTTTTAAAATTTGCTTTAAAAGCAATAAAGACTGACATTGAGGAATTTCTATAATGTACGGTAGAGCAAAGAAAGCAAGGCACAGGGAAGTCTACATAATCTGACCCTGCTTTTACAAAACAATATCAAATAAGCCCTTGACTAAATACACATAAATAAATATATAAATATGGTATATGAGGTGTATATATATATACATTCTTATATAATCATATTCTTATATATATGTGATTATGTAAGAATGGGGAACGACTTCCCTGGTGGCGCAGTGGTCAATGCAGGGGACACGGGTTCGAGCCCTGATCTGGGAAGATCCCACATGCCGCGGAGCAACTAAGCCCGTGCGCCACAACTACTGAGCCTGTGCTCTAGAGCCCACACGCCACAACTGCTGAAGCCCGCGCGCCTAGAGCCCATGCTCTGCAACAAGAGAAGCCACCGCAGTGAGAAGCCCATGCACTGCAACAAAGAGTAGCCTGCTTGCCTCAACTAGAGAAAGGCCGAGCGCAGCAATGATGACCCAACGCAGGCAAAAGTAAATAAATAAAGAACTTTATTTTTTAAAAAACAAAAGAATGGAGAAAGTTATGACTGCGTATACACCAGCTGTTAAAGCTGGTTGCAATCCATCAGTGTAAAATTACATATATGAATAAAGAAATGGTAAAAGTATGTTGACCAAAAGAAGAAAAGAAAGTCATATCAACTATGACTTTAAAACTATACAATTTTTAATTGTCTATTACAGGGGTTAAACAGTAACTCTCGAGAAAGAGATACTTCAGCAGTGATATATTTTTTTAACCCCACCTTTACTGAAAGAAGAGTTGTGATGGGAACAGCATGGCAAGAATGAACTAGGTCCCCAAAGATTTCAAGTCAGAAAGCTAAAGACCAATTTTTCCCATGTTTTGTATATTTGCCTGCCAAAGGATTCTATTCTGCTTTCCACCGCATAGATGTGCTCCAGATCCCCAAAAAAGCTGGTCCTTAGGAGAGGAATGGCCATTTAATTTTACGTGTTTGCTTTTTTTGTTTTGATAGAAATATTTTTTTCTTTCTTGTGCATATCTCACGACTCCTGTCTTTTCAAACACAGGTCGGTTCCCCTTCCCAGTACTAAATAGTATAAACCACATATTTTCCAGCAGCCAGCACAGCAGAGGAGTGCCCCTGACATCTCCTTCACCATTGATGCAAATAAGCAACAAAGGCAGCTGATCGCAGAACTAGAAAACAAGAACAGGTAAGGTTTTGGGGACACTCCTGCTTCTTTCTTTCTTTACAGCCTTTAAAGTATTGGTTGTTTTCGCAGCTTAGAAAGCTCTTCCTCGGGGTCTCTGCAGAGATGGCTCCTTCCCATCATTCAGATCTCAGCTCAAACGCCACCTCCTAAAAGATCACCTCTCTGATCTCTCCCACTACCTCCTATTCCAGGAACCACTCTCTGTTACATCCGTGTGTGTGTGAGTGTGTGTGTGTGAGTGTGTGTGTGTGTGTGTGTGTGTGACATCTCTCTCTGAAAAAAAGTCGCATTTAAGTGTTTGTTTCCTTTTTATTGTCTGTCTTCCCTGACTGATATGGAAGTTCTTTGAGAACAGAGGCTGTGACAAATGGCCCCTGAGCTCCAGAACCATGCCTGGTACATTGTAACAGTGTAGAAACTCAGTCAATATATACTGAGTGAGAAAGTAATAAATATCTGAGTCAGATCTCAAACTCAATGCTGAGTAAGCCTCATATAAGAACAACTTGTACATTCTGTATTTCTTAGAACACCACCAAGCTGTCTTAGTACTTAATCTCATCTTTCAACACTGATGTCCCTTCTGAGATCAGACTGGTAAAGGAGGAGGTTTTGATCATTGTTGCATACCTGTAGAGTTTGACCTGAAAATTTTGGGATAAATGGTCATGCTATTCTTTTTTTTTTTTTTTTTGTGGTACTCGGGCCTCTCACTGTTGCGGCCTCTCCCGTTGCGGAGCACGGGCTCCGGATGCGGAGGCTCAGTGGCCATGGCTCACGGGCGCAGCTGCTCCACGGCATGTGGGACCCTCCCGGACTGGGGCATGAACCCGTGTCCCCTGCATCGGCAGGCGGACTCTCAACCACTGCGCCACCAGGGAAGCCCGGTCATGCTATTCTTTAAAATTCTATAGAAAGAAAAAAAAAAATTAAAAGGAAGATACAAACTCACTTGGCACATTGTCATATTCTTAGAAATAAAACAAGACTAAAGTGAAAATTTACAAGCCCACAAATATCTTGGTTGCAATTTTAATCTACTCTCCCATCTCTCCAAAGCACTTTGTTTTCCCTTCCACTCAGCATGGGGATAGCACACTTGAGGGGAAATCGGGACTTCCTTTAAGGAAATAACCCAGGGATATCTACCTCCATGTGGGATTCCAGAATCAACAAGAAACCCCATGAATGTGCTGGCTGTACCATGCTACCACTCTTACTGCTTGTTTCTAGGGCATTTTGGGATTGCAGTCTCTGAATACATGTTTTTAGGATGAGAGGGAATAAAGGAATGGAAATGAGAAGAGATGGCAGAGAGAGAGCTTCATCCTTTCCCTGAGTTCTTTCCCCACTCCATGCCTGAAAAGCATCTAGTCCATCCTGAACTCATCTCTCTAAGCCAACGGCCTCATGCCTTCCAAAGACCCTAGAACCACATCCCAGAAGCTTATCCAGGTCACAGTTCCTGCACCACGGAAATTCACCCAGGGATCCCATGGTCTCCAAAGTGACAGTTAACCCAATAATCAGATCTCTGGGCTTCAAGGAAGGATAGAATTCCTCACTTGACTCCATGACTACCCTAGGTAGTCATTTAGACATTTCAGAAATGATCTTTAGGAGATAATGCTTTCTTAGAGCATCCTTAGAGGAGCCAGTTAGAATTAGTATTAGGAGTAGCTGGACTCCTTCAGATTACATTGTGGAAGTCACAGCCTGCCTAGGCTAGACCTGTCCAAGCAAGTACCAAAGACTGAGGGAGTCGAACACATATGGGCTTTGGGGCAAACCCGCCTGAGTTCAAATGACTGCTACCACCTACTTATTGAAATTGGGCAAGACTTTTAACTGGTATGTGCTTGATTCCCTCATTCATGAAACAGATAATAGCAGTACCGATAGAACTGTTGGTACTATACTAGTCTATATACAATAGAACTGTTATGAGGATGAAATAAGACTAAAGAAGACAGCACAGTCCCTGGGTGTAGTCTAAGCACTTCATGCTCCTTACCTGTCTTACCTTTATTCTCATCTGGTCAGAGATGCTTCTCTCTTTTTCTTCCTTGGGCTAAATGGCTGTGTCATGGTTCTGTCCTGAGAACCAACAAGGAGAACTAGTGGAATTCACAGAATGTCAGGATGTTAGCCCTCAAGATCTTGGAAATCCCAGTTCACTGATTTTCCGGCTGAGCTCTCTGGGAGTTCGGGGGCCCTGTAGGGGTGTATGAAGAGGAAGAAGAGCTAGTAGCACAGGGCACCCCCCTTTCTTTAACCAGAGAAGTTCCTTCTTAACTGTGTGCCATGTTGGGTTTCCATGGAAGATTTCTTTTAAAGAAAATTTTCCACTATAGAACACCAAGGGGGACAAAAAAACAAGTTGAAAACCACTGAATTATGGTCCAAGCTCCCACCACACCCATGAGAGGCGTACTGACTCACTGGTAATTAGCTTCTTGATTCTGGCATGTTTGTGAAGCAGGAGGTTGTAAATCAGCCTCTCAGATGGAAAGCCACCCATCCCCCTTGCTCACCAAGTACACCTTCCATTCTTGGTTTCTTCGTTCTGTCTTATGGGCTCTTCTGCATTTTGCTGGATGGGAGACTGAGCCCTCCCCCAAGAACCTGTGACTTCTAACCTTGCTTAATAGCTTCTAACTCACTTAGGGATAATTTGTCTTACATCGGTCACCCATCCCTTATGGCTGGCCTAATGTTCACCTCAATGCAGGGCAGCCCAGGCCCCAACATCAAAAATAGACTGACACGTCTCACCCCTGATGGAGGTCACACCAATAGCACTCTTATGACACAGACTCAATTACAGTGAATCCTTTTAAAAGCACTTTCCTTCATAAGGCTACCCTTATTCAGATACATTGTTAAGGCTGAAAATATTAAGGAAAAGAGAAAGAATTTTGCCTACCTGGGGGCTTCTCAGATAAATTCAGTGAGAAGAATTTCATTCCTGGTGAGAGAATGGGGTTATTTAGTTTTGCAAAATGAGCACCATTTATCCTTATTTTTTCCAAGCATCTCTTACTCGGTAGCTGCAGGTACTTTATGGTGTCAAACTGAGATCATAAATAGAGGAAGATTCATTTTTGTCTCTTAAGCAGCACGCTTTGCAAAGTTGAACACATTACCACAGCATTATATTACTGACTAGAGAGAGTATTAGGTCCTGGGGAGAACACTCAGCTTGAAGGCTCCAATGACATATTGCGGAGTCTTCCTAGTTTGGATGTACTGGAGATGAAGGCAGTATCCCCTCACCCAGAGCACCCAACTGTTGCAGGAAGGAGCAACAATGTTCCAGGGCCGGAGAGTGGTCTCTTGTCTAACACTCAGAAATGAATTGTCCAAGGAGACACATATTGACAAAGCAAAGAGTTTACTGGGAACGAACAGGCGCCCGGGGGGACAGCAGCAGGGTAACGGAACGCAGGAGAACTGCTCTGCCACGTGGCTCGCAGTCTCAGGTTTTATCGTAATGGCGTTAGTTTCCGGGTTGTCTCTGGCCAATCATCTTGCTTGGCCCATATTTGGTCTGACTCAGGGTCCTTCCTGGTGGCGCGCACATCTCTAATCCAAGATGGATTCCAGCACGAAGGATTCTGGGAGGTTGGTCGTCTCCTCCCTGTCTTGGCCCCTCCCGAATTCTCCTGGTTAGTTTTTAGAGGCATTAGAGGCAGTGCCATGTTCCTTACCGGAACCTCCTGTTATGAGACAACTCAGGCAAGCAGTTATCAGTTATCATCGCACCTGGCCAAGGCGGGAGGTTTCAGTCAATCGTTCCCTAACCCAACTAGCTACAGCCAAAACCTCGTAAACACAGTCGGTTAATGAGGGTTGGTTCTGCTCCAACCCATAGGATGACCCCTTCTTTCTTTGTTCTGGTGGCCCTGATCTACTCAGATGTTAGATCCTGGACATCCTGGAAGTTAACTGACCTGGGTTTCTTACCTTCCTCCTCTCTCCCAAGAGAAATCTTACAGGAGATCCAGAGGCTGCGGCTAGAGCATGAACAAGCTTCTCAGCCCACTCCAGAGAAGGCGCAGCAAAACCCCACTCTGCTGGCAGAGCTCCGCCTCCTCAGGTAAGAAAAGGAGCCCAAGGCGTCTCAGGAAATACAGGTGTCTGAGATCATCAATAAAGTCTAACAGTGTCCACCAGAAAACGGTCCTCAGCCACCATAGCTGCTAACGTCTGTTTGCTTTTTTTTTAATAGCACACATCTAATTGCTGGAATTTGGAGGTTTGGGAAAGAGGCTGTTTATTTATTTATTTTTTTCTTTGACACAGAGAAAAGGAAACAGTGTTCTTTAGATCCAAAACACAACGTTTCACCGGAAAACAATTTTTTATAGTGCACTCTCTTTTTTAAATTAAAGTATAGTTGATGTACAATATTATATAAGTTACAGGTATACAACATAGTGATGCCCAATTTTTAAAAGTTATACCTCATTTATAGTTTTTATAAAATATCGGCTGTATTCTGTGTTGTACACTATATCCTTATAGCTTATTTTATACATAATAGTTTGTACCTGTTAATGTCCTACCCCTATATTGCCACTCCTCCCTTCCCTTTCCCCATTGGTAACCACTTGTTTGTCCCCTGTATGTCTTACTGGAAAAAATTTGAACTCAACTCTTTTTAGTTATTTGCACTATCAACAATAGGTTTATGATAAAGAGTGATCAACAAAACAAACATGTAAACAACTAAAGAATCATCACAGTTTTTTAAATTTAAAAATTTACCTGTGACCCATAAATCATATCTAAATCTTGGTCCCTAATAGCTTTACATACGGATTTTCATACCTTCTTGTTCTACAGATTAATTTAAAGGTCATCATGAAATATTTGAGTTGGGAAGGACCTAAGAAGGTCATTTGGTTCAAGCCCTGAATTTCAGGGCACTTCTCAGGGTCAGGCCGGTAGAGAGTAGTAAGACGTGGATGAGGACTGTGACCACGTGCAAAAGGAGAGTCACACCACAGGCTCCAATCAGACTTAACCACCATACCTTGCATATGGCACCTACCCAAACCTGTCTGTGTAATAAACAACACAAACATAAACTCAAAAACATTCCCTCATGAAAATGTCATATGGATATTTCACAAGGCACTTGTAGTTAGCAAGTATAACATTCTTTCCATCTTTCAATTTGGATGCCAAGTATATTTCAGGTAAATCAAACTCTGAGGCATAATTTTTATAATAAGTACAGATGCCTCTTCTCAGAAACTCTTGTCAGAGTTAGAGTGCCACTTACCTCCTCCATACAAAGAGACTAAATTAAGCAGATTCTGTATGGCTATGTTTGGATTTTACCAAGTCCCTATTGATTGTAGTCATGGATGTTTCTGGGGGTTCCACTCTAACCCTGCCCTTTGGCCATACAAACATCTGAGCACTCAGCACATCTGGCCAGGGGGCAGGCCCTGCCTCTCAGCTGGGATCCAGTCTCCCCAGGTTTGAGCACCTGGCTAGAGGGGCAAACCCACCAAAGGCCTGAGTTATGGAAAGGAGACCTATAGAACTTGCAGCTTGTGGAGGCTGCTTGATGTGAAGAGATCACGTCATACTTTGGAAGAACAAAATAATTTAATGGAAGAAACAGAAATTCTTCCTTTTCAGCGTATGGGATTTCTGGTCCTACTTTCACAGAGATGTATTAGAAGTTCTTGCACATTCTACTACCATCACCCAGAAGGGATGAAAATGAAAAGAAGGAAAAAGGGATGTTTTACATCCTCCTCCTCAAAGGCATATGAAAGTAAAATCACTGCTTCAAAGCATCTTTTGCCAAATAGGATCATGTAGGCCCTCCAGACTCACAAGAAAGTTAAGTCTAGTGTACACAGAAATATAACTGAATAAACCAACTTAGAAAAATCATTCATCTACACCTCAGGGCACCGTGTCTCTGCCTGGAATGTTCTTTATACCTCTTCACTGGCCGCCCCATTCTCTAGTGGAAGGGTGGTGACTAGGAATTTTCATAAGCATTTTCACTGGTTCCCCCCAGTTAGCATTTGCTTTCCAAAGTATTTGGTTCCGTTAGGATGATACCATCTGGGAAGGCACCTTTATGTGCCTGGTTCACTGATGATAACTTTTCCAACTGATATTTCTTCCCTCCTTGATGTTGCTATCTTGGAACAGACCAATAATTCTAACCATCCTCTGGCCCTGACTCGTGGGCATTCCCATGACCCCAGCCTAGCTCAAAGCTACACTAAGGAGCCTGGCTCTGTGGGGAACTTCTAGACTTTCGGCCCTCACTGTCAGCTGGTGGCCCACACATAAGGCTTGAGGCTTGAGACACCTAAATCCTAGCTGATTCACTTGCCTGCCTCCATATTCTCCACATTTCTTCTGCCTGGAAGAAGAGGTACACTCCCTTGAAGTATATTTCTTTAGATGCTTATGAACCATTTATACTGTGCTCAGCACTTTTTATCAATTTGGGGATTTCAAAGATACCCTGACATCCCAGGTTAAGAAAACCTGCTCTGGGTGTTTTATCTTTTAGTCATTTCAGACTTTCAAAGAGTTCCAAAACAATGACTTCTCGCCAATTACTTTGGCCTTGAGTTCCCATTGAGGGGTGACCATGTGAAGCCACCAAAGGGACTCCTTATTGTAGCTTTGACAGAGGTCTTCTCCACCTGTTACATCCTTTCTGGGCCTCTTACTGAGAAGCCAACAGGAGAAATATATTTAGTAGGGGAATGGGGGCAGCAAGATCAGAGCTTTGCTTTTCGTGAGCACATAGTTTATTTTTATCTTAAGGGCATCATGACCTTTCTAAATGATCATATTTCCCTTTTTACTTTAGCCACAAGAAAGTGGAAAGCCAGGTTTGCAACCGAGATCTGGCAACTGAATAGGATTATAGGATAGGCATTTTTGCGTGCCTGTCTGACACTTTCTACGCACTAAGCTCAACGTACACTGTTCCATACAGTAGCTGTAAAAGAAGATCCTGGGAGCTGGACATTACTATTATAGTCTTTTTATAGATAAAGAAACTGAGATTCACAGAAGTTAAATAACTTGCCCAAGATCCTGCACAATGAGTATCACAGGTATATTCTATCTCTTTTCCTTGGGTCTTAATTATCTCCTGCCTGTACTATTATAATAAACACTTTCCTGATTCCCAGCCTCCGGTCCCTCTACACTGCTATCACATTTATCATCCTCCATTTTATTGTTCATTTAGTTCATTCACCTTGAGGATATTGCTATCGATCCTACAACAGGAAGCCATTAGAGGATGAGTTACGTATCAAGTTAACACAGTGGGTTAGATTGTCAAGTCAGATTCACGTGATCTTACCCTAGTATTGAGCTTTACTCATAATTTCAAGAATACAGGCAATCAAGAGGCACAGATGAAGCAGAGAAAGGGCTGGAACATTCCATGTGGTTCCCTAGGTCTTTCCTTCCCATATTGGATGGAGTATCTGAGGGAAATTTTGCAAGGTGATCTAGTGAGCCTTCCCACTGCAGAACCATTAAAAGACAGCTAAAGAACTATGTTTGCAAAGACAATACCATGTTCTATAATGAAGAAAACATTAATGAAAACTGCAGAAGCAACTTGACACTACAAATCTTAAGAAAAACAAGTATAAATTTTCATATCTAGCCCTTGCCTAAAACATAAGCATCATATTATACACATGGCATTCTTTTCAAAGTATGTAAAATTATTCTTCGAGAAAACTTATTAATATAAAGAGACTTTTTTTTGTTTTTACCAATTAAAAATGGAATCATAATCTCTGATGCAAGTCTGTGGTTTCCAGACTTGAATTTCATTAGACCAGCTTAATTTTTTTTATTATTTTGGGGAAACAACATATAGTTGAGTACTTTTTTTTTACCATATAATGACATTTTTAAACTACCATCATCTGTTATTGCAAGTTTCATGAATGACAGTATATTTTTCAAGTTTTTATTTTGAAAACAATGTTAAGCCTACAGAAGTGTTGTGAGAATATCACAATGAATTTCCTTCTACGCTTCACCTAGAGATTGCAAACATTTTGCCACACCCTTCTGCCTCTCCCTATATATGTTTATATATGTAAAGTACATATGGATTTTTGATGAGCCATTTGAGAGTAAATTGCAGACATTATAACACTTTACCCCTAAATACTTATGTGTATATTTTCTAAGAAAAAAGAAGACATTCTCTTGTGTAACCATGGTATCATCATCAAATTCAGGAAAGTCAATATTGTTATTTATTGTTATCTAATATATAGTTCATATTAAAATTTTGCCTATTGTCCCAACACTGTCCTAAAGAAAGTAGGTTTTAACACACACACAAAGCTAGAAATAATCTGACAGAATAAAAGGCATTCGTTCAGACGTGAATATTTTTAGCTCTATGAAAATAAAATCACTACTTAGTCCTTGTTTTCTCATTTTTCCTTGGAAGAGTGGAGGCTACACCACAGATGTGTTACCCACATTTGGTAACAACTGGTATAAACACTTATAGAGAAGACATTATTAAATGAATGTTTTTTAAAAAATGTAATTCAATCAAATGCATGAAAGAGTTAATGTCATGTTTTGAAAGAGTACTACTGTAAGATAAATGTACAAGTAAGGTTTTTTTCAATGTTGGTTAATTATAGATTACTATAAGCTAACTTTTTCTGATAGTTTGTGGATGCTTCTCTTAATATTTCTTACCTATAATATTAGAAGTTTGCTTCAACCTTCTTCTCAAAGTGCTCTTATGATCAAAAGGCCAAAATTTGTAGAACAGTACCTAGAAGAGAACTGGAAATAAATCAGAAACATTATCTACTCTTCTGCCAAGCGCTTCTGAGGATGTAGTTGGAACACCATGTGCAGACAAGGTCAAAGAAAAAACAGCTAATGGGTTTGTCATTGAAGAATATTTTCGAATTGGGCAAGACTTTCAAAATTAGAAGGCTACAGACCAGGAAGACCAAAGACTAAAATAAGATAGCATTAAAGTCTATAAAATTATGATGTGCCTTGTCCTCGGGATTCAGAAAAGAGGCAATTGTAAAGAAAATCAAAGGAAGGACTGCTCTGGAGTAAGCTTTAAATGTCAATAAAAGCCATAAATATAAATATTTTCAAAAAGAGTGATGTGTTTATAAGTTTTAAATTCATAATTCATTATAGAGAAGGCCTATATGAAAGCAAATTAAAAATGTCTCCTTTATATCCATAACTTGTCTTCCCACAAAATATCTTTTAATTGGATGAGTCATTGACCTAACTCAGTGTGACATTTTTATATTGTCAGTTTTTCATTTCAGGGTCCCTACTATAGCTCCACTTAATATTGTGTCTGTGCCATTGAGATTAGGCATACTTAGTCATACATTAACACATACATGGTTAAAGCATCCACACACTTTTTAAAATATAATTTCCAATATTTCAAAATCAGACAGGAGCCTTTGGGGCAAGGAAAAAATGTATATATTACTTTTTCACTAATGGTCATGAAATAATATATTTGAAATAGATTTGAAAAATCCACTTCAGAAATGTGAATCACTAATATTCATTGTTTTCATTCTTGCTGACAGCTGATAGAAGTTCTGCAAAACAAACCAAAATTAAGCAAACACAAACCTTGCAGATTGTTAGGACAATCATATAGGAACTCCTTTTTTTCTGACCTCACTCTATGCAGCCAAACCCAAGCCAGAAGATTTATATCGACTATAAAAACTATACCACGAATATTTTTCCTCTGAAAAGCACCACGTTGCATACTAAGAATTGAAGAGGTGAAAAATGTACTTTTCTAAATCTGATTTCCAGATACTAAGGTAATCAGTGTTTTCTGTGAGATTTACAAAAGGGTCCTTGGTTTCGGAGGATCTGAGGGATTGGACTTTTTCAGTGACAATTTGGTTTTTGTTTATTATCTCAAGGGGACCCAATGGCACAGCACAGGGCCCATGACATAATAAGCATTCAGAAAAGATTTCATTAAATAGTTAATTCAGGGTAGATGGGGGTAAATATCCAATAAGAGTTTAGTATGACTTTTAACAAATAAGCATACACCCAAGCTATAATTGTTCATTCATTTGACATTTCCCTGCCTGGTAACCTATGTCAAAGACCCAGAGATGCCCTTTTTCTAGCGGTCCACAAGACTGGCAAATGTGTTTAGCTCAGTGAATTGAATGCTGTTTCTGATGACAACTGCTTCTTTCTTAGACAGCGCAAGGATGAGCTGGAACAGAGAATGTCTGCTCTCCAGGAGAGCCGGAGAGAGCTAATGGTCCAGTTAGAAGGTCTCATGAAGCTACTAAAGGTAAGATCTTTCAAATAAATGTTTCCTAGACCTACAACTATGGCATTTGTGAAAAAAATTTTTAATTAAAAAAGTAAAAGATATTTGCACATAATGTGCAATGGTTTTTTCAGTTACTATATGTGAGTTCCTCCAACATGTGCTTTCAAACTCAGTTTTAGTATCTTTTCTTAGGCACATCAAATGATAGCAGTCAATTATAGGGCTCATTCTTATCCATTTCCTGGAACCAGACTACCGAGGACCTTCGTGGCACAACTTATTTCCAGTTGGCTCATTTAAAGTTCCTTTTGTCCTTGGAAGTACTGAAACTGGATTTATTTAGAAATATTTTACATTTCATAGCCTTCAGAAATTCTGACTAAACAGAAGCTAATATCTAATTCAGAAAATGAAGATACAGCCATTAAATAATTTTGGTGATTATAGTTTTATTAAGGGGAGTAACTTTGTTAATTTCAGTAAATGTTGTCAAATCTGTGTGGCTTTAGCAGCAAGTCACATAACTTCTCTGGGTTTCAAATGCAAATTGTAAATGGGAATATCTCCTTAACTTTTCTGCAGGTAGAGCATTTAATAAGATGATCTATAGAAGTCCTCTGCAGAGTGATATAATAATAATTCTCATTGGGAAGTGGCGTTCTTTCTTTCATAAATCTTATTCCTTTCTTCAGTATGCACTAAATTGCATTTCAACCCCAAAGTAGACTAATTATGGCCTCATGTCCATGATTGCCCCAGCAGAGGTTTCAGTGCTCTGTTGTCATCCTGCCTGATGTAAATAAGCATGAACCAGTATGGACTGGAACTGTGACATCCCAAAGGCAGGAACTAAAACTTCTGATAAAAGGACATAGGCAAAGTCTCTGGGACAACTCACTTGTGAGACAAGATGTCCTGCCTTTCAGTCCCTGGACCTCCCACATCCCTGACACCCCATCATTTATTGTTTCTGTATTGTTTTCTTTCTTTCTTTCTTTCTTTCTTTTTCTTTCTTTCTTTCTTTCTTTTTCTTTCTTTCTTTCTTTCTTTCTTTCTTTCTTTCTTTCTTTCTTTCTTTCTTTCTTTCTTTCTTTCTTTCCCTTCCTTTCCTTCCCTTTCCTTTTCTTACTTTTCTTTCTCTCTCTCTTCCTTCCTTTCTTTATTTATTTTTTAATTTTAAAAAATTGAATAGTTAACAAATATTTGTTGGAACCTACTGTGTCCCAGGCACTGATGTAAGTGTAACAATTTTTTCTTTTGTTTTCTTTATTCTTTTATATTCCTTAGTCGACTTTTCCTGCCATCAGTGTCAGGAATGCTTTATCTTTACTAAACAAAATTTACTTTTCATTGTATTAGACATATAAAGTGCAGAATTCAGTTTTTGTTGTACTATCCATGTTAAGACAGGACTGGATAACTAATAACCTCTTGCTGTTTCTGCCCTATTATCTCATTTGATGATATAAAAAAGCTCTTTCTGGTTTTTGTTTTTCCAAATCTACCAAATGAAGTGGGCCCATCCCATCTTTCCCTTCACTGAATGACAGGAAACTGGAAAGAGCCCCCTGGTTCTACTTCTGTAGCTTCTGTCACTGTAGCAATGGGATAGGAGTCTGTTTACCACCGGCTATCTTGGCATCAACGTAGCCTAATTAAGCACAGTCTATGGTATCAGGATGTACAATAGCAGGATAGAGAGAGAAATCATGTTGAAGGATGGTTGGATGCATGGAGGAAAGAGATGGGTCTGTAGTCTCAGATATCTAAATAGACTTGGAACTAAAGTCACCAGGAGAAGAGGCTTGACCTGCCATCGAAGCCACATTGAGGTTTCCTCCACCTTCATTCCTTCACACTGTGTGCCTGCTCTTATTGGAACCCTGGGTAATCTAACTATTATTGATTCGATCTTTCTGTAGGAAGAAGAATTGAAGCAGGGAGTAAGTTATGTCCCCTACTGCAGGTCTTAACTAACAGTGGAGGGGCCTGCCGTCCTGCCGTTTTTCTCATTGCTTTCGCCTCTAATGTATGTTCATGCTTCCGTTTGGAAAGAGAAAAAAAATTATACTAATTTGCTTCCTTTTCAATGTAGTGCTTGATTGGAGACATATAAAATTGAGCTTTTTTTTATAACTATTACTACCGTCAACATCAAAAGAAGAGCTATTATGTCCTTTAGAACAGGGAACACGCTTTAACTTGGAAACTTTTTAGACCTCCAGGGGTCTAAGTTTCAAACCAGTCTCATGCTCTTCTGGGTTGTTGATCAGACCCTTCTCTTCATAGAAAGACACTCACCACAATCACTAACATTACACTAGGTAGAATCCACAGCACTCAGAAGCTAACCTCAACATCCTCTCATGCTGTGAATATTCAGTTCAGTTCCATTTTACTGAAAAAATGTGGAACTTCTTTTTGTAAAAACCAGCCAATTACATCTCCTTTCATTGCATAATGTTTAAGCCCCGCTCCCCACTGCTCACCGTTATGTGCTCAGTCTAATAAGAGAAAGACTGTACTCCGTAACTGTTCAGTTCCCAAACCAGAATCCCTACCATTGGTTGACAGTCATCTCCAAAGAATAGGTAACTTTCAGCCTTTCTCGTACCACCAAGCACCTTTCTGCTGTGGGAGTTCACAAGGTGTTACATACATCTTCCCTGGAAATAGGAGCCTTGTGACTATCTAACTGTAGCCTGAACTGAAGCCCCCTGTCTGGCCATGCAGCCAGATGCAGAAGCCAGCAGAGGGAGCAGCGTACTCAAAATACAATAATAATAAAACAAAAGCAAAATAAAAGCAGCTTTGATTTCAAGTGCATGTACCAAGCTGTGTATAACAATATATCCCACTTACTGGTCTTATCAAAAACTTTTATGTTATTTCCATGGATCCATTAGAACCACAGCCTATCTGATTTCAACGTACCTTTTCATTCTTCTGTATTCTCTTTCCTATTATTCACTGTGCGTGTTTGTGTATAACAAAAAATGTTTGCAAAATGCTGGACACATTTTTACCCTTCATTCCCAAGGTCTGTAAAAAAGGAAAGTGTAAAACAAATCTGTAATGTCAGACAATAAAGACAATGTATTACATTATTTGTATTTTGTGAAAAAAATTACTTCACTAAACTGAAGTCAAATTTTAATGAGAGACAGTCCCCCTGGGTAAAAGACACATATTTGCTGCCTGTATTATTGCCCATAAATGCATACATGGGGTATTGCTGTTGTACGTACAACACACTTAGATCATGGTAAAGAAAAATGCCATCTCATGGTGCTTCTCTGCAAACAGCCTCTTTTCTTTCCTGTCTCTTACTCAGTGTGTGCATAGAAAAAGGAAATAAGGCTAACATATAACCTTCCTTCTCCTAGTGGAGAGAGTAGGCAACCATCCTGCAGCCAGTCAACCCTGCTTTAGCCATTTCCCTCGGGGACCCTCTCTCTACCATTTCCAAGGCAGCACATTCTGGAAAGGCTCAGTGGACCAGGAGGTTCAGAAACAGATGAATGCATACAGCCAAACCATGGCAGCGCCCATAAGAGCATTACTGCCTTCTTTCCCTCCAGCTCCTCCCCACTGGGCCCTCAACAGCTGCCGCATCTTTGAAAGTCAGCCAGCAGTGGGTACCGCTGCCTAGGTACTTAAGGACCATTATTGGCAACACCCAGATGTCAGCAATGCGTTGTCTGGGTGGGGAGAGTGTTTGCGGGTCTTACTCATTTCTTTGCTTACATAGTCAAGCCTCTTTTCAAAAAGGACCCAAGGCAGCTTACAACTAGAGACGTAAACAGTGACTTCATAAAGTGGAAATAGAAAAATCGAAAACTAAAGAAGATGCAAATATGCTAATCATAAGGGACAAGGGTGTCACTCTGAGCTTTCTAGCAGTGAGGCAAAAAAAAGGAAAACATAATTGGTGGTTTTATCAGAACAGAAATGCCAGTTCTCAAGGGACCAAAATTTCTGTTGGTGTAAAATATAAAATGAAGTTTTCACTCAGAGCTTTATAGAAGTAGTGAATAATAAAACAGACACACGCAGTAGATTTCGTGTGGCTGATTCTTATACTGACCTTCAGTGAAAATTAAAGACAGAACCCCATATGTCCCAATCCTGCAGAGGCAGTTCTACAAGGAAATAAACAAATGCCATCCAAATTTATAGACTTCTCATGGTATAACATGATCTAAGGAGAGAATTTAGAAGTTTTAGTCTGGCATCTGCTTCTAAATTCTGTTTTTATTTATGAGCCTTTCCCCTTTGGCGACATTCTCTTTGTAAAATCAGATTTAAGACACCACACACAACAAATTGTGCTTGATTTAATAACCTCTACTTGCTTTATCATAAGTCTGTGTGGTTCAATGTATTTTATTATACTGGTATATATAGTTCCTACTTATGCTGTTTCTTGTTAGAGGTAATGCATGAATTTATTCCCCTTGAGGAGAGAACATGAATTTTTTTTTTAAAATGGTGCCTGTAATATAATATGATGATTATGGTATCATAAGCAATAAATTTTTTTTACAAACTTGAATCGAAATTATCCTACCCTCTTTCTTCCTTGTGTATTTGTAAGATTTATTGAAGGAACCATAAAAAGAACACTCATAAAAAGTTTAATAACAAAGGCGGCTGGGATATAATAACAGTGACAGCATGTTCCAGAGTTTCTGGTATCCTTCCAGTGCCAAATACTATGACCTGGTCTAAAACCAAGTATCCTTTCTGACTTTGAGTTCAGAAGGTAGGGTCTCAATAATAATTTTCTAAGAAACATTACTGGAGCTAGACCTGAGTTGTGGTGGTCCCAGCTCCTCACTTACAACTATAAGATCTTGAATAAGTCAGTTAACTTCCTAGCAATTTATTTCAAACATACCGATAATACATGGCTCACAGGGTTGTTGTATAGATTTTAAAAGATAACAAATGTGGAACCACTTTGTGAAATACTATATGCAAGTCAGATATAAGCATAAATGTATGTATATATATAT